GTGAGTATGGCGGATGTGGAAGACACTCAAAGTGCAAGTCTTGGATTGTTGCAACTGTTGCACGGGCAGAGTGGGGCCGAGCATTATCATGTCAAGGACACCTCTAGTCAAAAGTCCACGTCGCTTTGATCTGACTGCAGGTCGAAGATGATTCTTCAAGATTCTTCACTGATCAAAAAACGAATTACAGAACGTTGTTCTTCTTTCGTGCACGTAACTAGTGGAGCAGCCATTTTCAAATTGGCACTGTGATGGCGATATGTTTGTCTGCATTATACTACCACCTATAGGATACTCTTTATAGCATTGGTAACATGTCTGCCAACTTATAGGACAATGGCGCGATATTTCGAATTTTTATCTCAGTTTTACGGTTTTCATTTGACTCACCCTCGTATTATACCAAAAAGTACTGGAACGACAAGCAACTGCCTAGCTGTATCAGCAATGGAAACAGGATGTGGAGAAAATGACTGCTAATCGAACTTCGAAGTTTATTCTTTGGTAACTTTAACGTTAAGAATCTTGTGCGGCAAATTTAATTTTAAGTTCTCTTTGTCTCTGAACTCGTTCGTTCTCCTTCCCCCTCTCTTTCATTTTTTCTTCTCCCAATTCTTTTTTCATTATTACTGCACTTTTCTCTACATATTGCTCGTTCTTCTTAGAATTCTGCTTCACGTCAGACACCGAACATCCCGTTCGAAGCACTCATGCTTCGTATTCGGGATATCCCAGGTTCAGATCTTGGTCCGGAGACAGACTCATGGCTAAGGTTCTTCGTGGTTTTCCTTGGTTCCTCCAAGAAAATGTCGGGACCGTGACCACAACCGCTCAATTACCTATCGACCTTCGACGCCACAGCGCTCTGTCAGAGTCGTAAAACGAGCCACCTTAATGTTGCGATGGGGTGTGACGTCTGTGAAACTGAGGCCGCTAACGAGCCCATCAGTGGAGTGTCAGGGAGAAAACCTAACCCAGTGTCACTGTGTACTACCTATTTCACGTGGACTATGGGCGATTCTGGGCCTCTGGGTGAGAATTCGAGGTTAAACAGATTGTGCTATGGCAGTTATGCATACACAAACATCCATGCCTGACACCTAACCCCGTTCCGAATAACCCAAGAGCATGTAGGGCAGGGCGCCCCGGGGCGATTTCTGTCAGACGTTGATTATACTCGTATGTGCAGCTTAGAGAGAAATATGACTTCAAGAATTTATATTCATGTGTAAAAGTGTACCCAGTCTTTGGAGCTCTAATAATAATCCTAGTCTATTTTCCAGATTTCCTTTGGTTTAATTAACTATAAACATTGAAAAATCCCCGAAGTACCTGTACGTCTTCTCGACACCACGCCCAACCACACAGGAGTGGTTAGAAGCCTATCAATGTTCCTTATCCTGAGCCAGTTTAATCCATTCCACACCCTCTCACCACATTTCCGTAAGATACATTTATTTTTATGTCTATGCCACTAAAAGATCAGGACTCTTTTATGTGGCCCTACTCTTATGGCTTCTTTCCAACCTCGAAAATCCATGCAACTGCTTAAGCCATTTCATTAATAAGTGAGTACAAATACCGAATAGCCACTAGGCCCTTGTGATGCTATCTTTGTGTGTAAAATATGAATGCAGGCTAACAAGAACGAAGTACAAATGTCATGAGAAAATACTTTACGTATAACGGACCTCTGCAAAATACTGCTAGCGCCTGCAAACTCGTGTTTCGAGCAACCGCCGCACAGATTTGCCAGAGAAGTTGTCGCACAGTCACGGCGATGTAATTTTATACCTGAGGTATGAAATGAGTGGGATATACAACATACTGCTTGCTACCCCTGGTTCGTACTTTGAAATCTCGGCCAGCAGTCCAACTAAACTGACAAATGTTCCTCCTCGTCGTTTTCATAAAATTGTTTCGGCAGTCGTAAGAAGGTTTGAAAGGTGTACAATTTGAAGTGCACCGAAATTCCAATGCCATATCACGGTTGGTGACGTAAGCAGGTTTTTTCGATGAGAACCACGGTTCAAAGAAATGGCAGACTTACACCACGCTTACTCGAAAGGAATAACAAAGCAAAAATGATATTCGAAGTTAAAACAATGCCATCGGTTCGCCTTTCCAACATCATCCTCGGTTACCATTTTTACTACGTGTTACAACAATGATCTCAGCATTCACTGTCAAAAATATTTGGATAAAAGAACAATAATTTTTCTTTTCACCTCTCCTGGGATCACACATTCTCATGATGCCACGTGCCTAAGTATCAGGCCAAGAAAGCGAGCAGAGGGCGTGGAGGCAAAGCGCCGTGAGCTAACGCAACTCTGGCGACTAACGGAGGTGCAGTGGTGGTTTAGTACAGAGAAAATACTGGTACCAACATGTACATTAATTTCAACTTAAACTAAACACTTTTTGTACACTTGAATTTCATTCCTTCTACTTCTGTGAGGATATCCAATGTGCATTATCATACTGTCTTAGTTTTACAAACGACACCATGTCTGTAATTTTTCAAATGCAATGTTTCAACAATCTTTATTTCTTATCTAAGAAGAATAACGGTGACATGCCGTCTAATGTCATGGCATTTATACGAAATTTTTTTTTAAACGTTTGTAGAAGTAACAAACGCTTTATCATACAACAATACTTTCTTTGAGAATAAAATAAAGATATTTTATAAGCAATATCAACGCTAAGGAAGTACTTGAATAATATTTCTCAATGCTCGAGGACCGTATATGGACCGCGAACCGTAAATTATTCACATCTTTCTTATACTGTTTATACTACATTAGAATTCGGACCGTAAATAAACAATATTATCTGGAGGAAGCGACTCTTGATATATTCAGTGGCTATTTGTTATCTGGGATTTGGGATGGAAGGACGACAGCTGCTTGTGTAGATGGCACACGAAAGGGAACGTCTTGTTTCTGAAGAATCTAACCACGATTATGGCGCATTCGTTACAGATGAAAGCGGAAAGAGGCTGTGTCTTAACGCAACGCAAGATGGGTGAGTATGTTGATTACTTTAATAAGTCTTAATCGCCATCTAACACGGCTGATAGCCCGAGAAGACTTTATTAATGAAAGCCGCCGTGAAGGCTTCACATCATATGTTGATTACTTCTTTGCTACTTTCATTGTCATTCTGTCTTCTTTTTTTATCTGTTTTCTTTGTGCCAATTTTTCTTTAATTTTTACCTTTTCGTTTCTCTCGTTGTCTTCGTTCTTTTTCGTGGCTTCTTCTTTCAACCATTTGAAGCACGAATTTCATCTAAATATTTACAAACTCAGTTTCTTCCTCACAGAAAGCACAGTATGTCTATATTACAAATACCAGCTGCTTAGGAAAAAAGTACTTTATTCTGAGAGTAGTACATAACCCTGAGGACAAACTCAGATATATTAAAGTAGGTGTTATATATAGTTACCAGTGGTACATAACACAGTTTCTCAAGCTGCCTGATGCAAACTAAATCAAAGTCTGCTAGGATGTATAAATTTAAACAGATTTCTGTATATTCAACAGCAGTTGATAAAGTAGTCGATTTTCCACATCGCCACAAAGTCCACAGCGGTCGTGAGGGCCATCTAGCCAGACTCCTAATACACTGGGTAAAAGGTCCATCGTAGTGGAAAAAGTTCGTCAGATCGTGAAGCTGACCCTAACCTCCATCCTGTGGCAAGGCCACTCCCTCCATTGGCCTTCGTGAGGCGATGCTCAGACAAAGCCCCTCGACCTGCGCTGCTGTGTCGATATATTTCATATTTATTTTACAGTGTGCTTTCTCAGTTTCGCAAAATTGTATTTAAAACATTTTTATCCGTCACTCTTGTCATCTATTATGAATTCCCAAAATGCTGTTAATGTTGCAGTTTCCATCTAAATGAAAACACAATAAAGAAAGAAGAATATACCTAATGAAAACAGTCTGCAAACATAGGCATACTAATTTTGCCTTGGTCGCCGAACGCTTTCGATTGTGCCGAAGTGATACCTAGCCCTATTTGTTACAGCCGGGGCTCGATCGAGAAACACCAAAAGCGGTTGGTTGAGGCCGTCTTGGTGTGCGCACTTTTCGTGATCGTAATAACCATAACTTGGGGAGTGGTCATCCTCCTTGCTAGGTCTGACCCAGTGACAGACCTGCCTCCGTCATACTCGAAGGAAGGGCACTACACCCGAGCAGCTGTCAGCGCCGACTCCACAGTCTGTCCACCCATTGGCAGGTACAAAGATCCCTTTCACGGTACGAGTAATTTATAGTTTCTGACAGTCAAAAAATTTATTCTGTTACGAAACTCAAAGTTTCATCACCTTGTCTACTAAAGTTCACTACCGAAGAAGAGCCAGTTAAATCCAATTTAAATTTTCAAATTAAGGTTTTATAGAATCAATGTATTATTTTGCCACAGACATCAATGTCTCACAGGAGGTCTCTTCCAGTGAGGTAATTAGACTCAAATACTGTGTACGCACATTTAAAGTCGCCATTTTCGTGATTTAATCAACTTAATATTAGGCGAAGAATACAAATTATGAAGTCCCGCACTATGCAGTTTCATCCACTTCTTTGTTACTTATCTTTACTAATCCAAATGTATTTCTCAGTCTTTTATTCCCAAACGTAATCACGCCATTTCCTTAAAGTGTAACGCCAAGTTTAACACGTGAAGAGGTCTATATCCACACACAAGTTTCGCTACAGATCCCTTTACCACCGAATCTGACATTTTATAAGTCATTTTCCTAACAAATACAAATTCATGCCGTCTTGTTCCATGTTCTGAGAGGTGGGTTAAATCACTGCGTTTTTACAGGTCAGTTCTCGAGAAGGGAGGATCCGCTGTGGATGCTGCAGTCGCAGTGCTGCTCTGTCAAGGGGTCTCTGACCCCCTGCGGAGTGGTTTGGGGGGAGGTATTTTCATGCTGATATACCAGAGATCCAGTCGCACTGTTCTCGCCTTGGACGCTAGCGTATCTGTCCCTGCTAGGGCGTCCAGGGACATGTTTCAAGACGATACTACGAGGCAGGGTCGAGGTAGGCCTCTCTTACGTACAAAAAACTCGGTTGCGCAGAAAGCTTATAATGGAATTCCGAAACAATGTGAAATATTGGTGTTCCTTTCAGAAAGATAGGTAGCAAATCCATCATCCAAAAGCCAGAAATGAATTGTGCATATGCTATGTTTAATGTAGTGATAGAGCTACGCGCTGGAGGGCCGGATTTCGATTCCCGACAGGACAGAAGTTCTCTCTTCGTCACAATGTCCAGACCGCTTCTGAGGCCCATCCAACCTCCTAACCAATGGGTACTAGGTTCCTTCCTCTCGCAAACAACAATCGGAGTGCAGAGGTTAAGAATGCATGGAGTTTTCCATCCACTCCCCCACGGCATAGCTTGGTGCCTACTTGAACAACTCCGTTTACTACGCAGCGTAGGCTAGATTTTCCTTTTTCTTAATGTTTTTATTTTCTTTATGCTTCAGCGCAAGTGTAGGACGACTTAAGGGCGCGTCCTATCCTTGTCTGTCCTGAGAGGTTGTAATGCTATCTATCAGAGGTCTTACGAACCATACGTTCTGTCGTATAATAACTCATGAACGGTCAAATAATCACGAAATTCCATACGGATATTATGCCACTGGAGGCTACTCCGGACACGAACTTTTTAATTTCTAAGTAGAATTTGAGGTTTTCAAGGCAGTGAGGCTGATGATGGGTTTTTTTCTGGATTGTTCCACCGTGTAGTCTGGTAAAAATGTACCGACGTTTCAGAGGCTATGATCGCCCTGATGATAGAGGCAGCAAGGACTCTGAAACATTGATAAACTTCTACGAGACTACACGGCGCAACAACCCAGATGACAGCTATCTTTAATCTTTCAATTCCTACTGTTATTTATAATACAGACGTATTGTTCAAAGGTAATTAAACTACAGATGTTCCACTGCTTAGCCATGAACTATAGTATACTGTTTTATGTCTGGAGTTAATTTTTGTCTGAACCGGTGAGCCATGTTTGAAAAGAACAATTAATGGCGATTGAATCGTCATGAAAAGTAGCGCTTAAAATCGTCGCATTTTTCTTGTAGACACATGAAAACTATACACAATTAAAATTCAATGAGTAATATTCGACGTGAGAAATGTGGACTAATGAACGAACACGACCTCCGCATTTCATGCACACTGAGGAAAGCAAGACAAATTGAAAGGCGACGAAACATGGGAAAGAAATTCTGTTGCTGTTTTGCACAGGAGGATGGCTGGTCGCTGTTCCCGGAGAGCTAATCGGTCTGTGGGAGGCGCATAAGAAGTTTGGGGTTCTCCCATGGTCGGAACTTGTGGAAACTGCAATCCAACTGTGTGAACAGGGAGTTGCGATGTCAGAAAACTTGGCAAAATTTCTTCACAAATTCCAGGACGTCGTCCTCGCTGACCCGGCGTTGAGGTAATGAGTGTTCTATGTTAATGAGAAAATTTAAAAGTGTAGTTCCACTGGTGATAACAAATACCACATATGGATCCTGCACTTGAAATTATGAAACGGTAGTCTGTGCGAAACGAGAAGAAACAAGTCCGTGAGTCATCAAAATGATTGCTACAGATTAGACTGCTGGAGTTCTGGTTCCCACACGATCGACAGTGGAATATCATTCCTCAAGGACTGAAGTCTATTGAACCGTGACGCAGCTGCCTAAATGGTATGGTGCATATGCACAGAGTCAACATTATATAGCAATTTCCTCTCCTGTCCGCAGGAAAACATTTACCAGACCTGGAACTGGGGAGCTGTTGCAAGCGGGCGACGTGATGAAGAACGTAAGGCTTGCGAGAACACTGCGGGTTGTCGCCACGCAAGGGGCAGATTCATTATACAACGGAACTCTGGCGAAAGCTTTGGTCGATGATGTAAAGAGCTCTGGAGGATTACTACGCATGAAGGACCTCGCCAAATACAAGTAAGTACACTGTTTGTTTCAGTTAGTTAACACCTATGAACGAAATATTCTGAGCATAGTATTCTATATATTTATCCAAACCGTTAAAATGGATCCCACGTTCGTAATGTTAAAACAAACAACTCACTCTTAATTTAATTTAATGAGTATAATGCTTGGAGACTCTTGGAGGGGCAAAGACTTATCTGGAATAAAAGTGTAGCAGCAATTCCCACTCCAGTCCATACATGACAAATAGAACCTATTTATAAAATCTGTAACAACCTGCTGGGTTTCTGTCTTGTTACTATAAACTATCTCTGAAGCTACGCACAAGGAGTAAAGTGGTAAGAGCGTGAAAACTGCTACTCACCTCCACCAAAGACTGTGCACGCAGCTTTCCATTCACTCTCCCGAAACTATCCATAGCGTGGTATGAGGGGGTTTCGCCAGATCTTCGGGAGATCACCGGTCCACTTATCTGCAACACATTCCTTGTATGTAACCAGGCCAAGGTGGAGCAAAGCGGTGACCACAACTTTGCAGGCAGGAGGGCAGAAGCTGCATATGCACACCACGCCACCCCCAAGCGGGGGGGTTGTTGTGTCGCACATTCTTAGCATACTGGAAGGTTACAACATGAGCAGTCAAGATTTCGCCACTGTTTCGCGGCAAGTGACTACGCTACACCGCATCGTCGAGGCATTTAAGCTCTCCTTCGCCAAAAGACCGCTCCTAGGTGATCCGGAAGACGCAGATGTCATTAAGGTGGGTTCACCAAAGGCCGTGGCTTTGTGTCTTTCATAGAAAATTCTGAGACCACTGGCCGGGTTTCACGAAATGCGATTTATGAACAGTCTTTTAACACGTGTGTGTAGTAGAAGACTGTTCGACTATATTAAAAACTTACCGTTGGCATGTTGCAGAAGGAACCACTGAAATCGTGTAAAAAGTAAAGTACGCACGCGTGCTTTTCTTTCCAGGCAGGAAATTCATATTCTGTTGTTACGCTCAACGCTTTTTCTGACTGACGTATAGTTTAGTGAACACAAGCAGGTTAGAGAATAACTTTCATGTATGAGAACAAAATGACAGTTGATCGCAACTACTTTAGTCAGACTCATAATTTTGAACCCTTCTAAGTCAAATAAATGAGACAGGACAGAGAATGGGGGGAGAGTAGTGACATTTATAGGGGTAAAATCTAAAGAAATTTCGACTATGAAAGTCTCCAGGCAGTGCCAGCTCATCCTCCTGGTAAAGGCAGAATGAAAAGGAGTGGTGAGAAACGAAGCAAAGGAGAGAGGTTGAACAAGGTCGATCGGAATTACGCAAAGGAAACACAACACGTCTCGACGACAAGAATTAACTGGTTAACGCAGTTCAAGGAAACAATCTGTTTATTCTGGGAATCATGTGAAACCCATAAACAAATTCTGTTGGAAAAGATGCAGATATACTGAATGTTAAGTGAGTTGTACACGGCCTACAGTTAGTATTATTTATGGTTACAACTGGAGCACACGTATAACAAGTATCTGTATGCTGTAGTTTCAAATATTCAGTGATCTAACATAAAGTCTTAAAAAATGTTTACTGCAGTCTGCTACGTTTTGTGGACCAACGTACTAAAGAATAAACGTTTATATAAGACCATTTCGGCACACAGCGTAACCCTATGAAACCACAAAAACCATCATCACACAGAGAAGGAACCGGATTGACTACACTACCCGTACGTTAAGAATACAGTACTATTATCAAATTACTTCACATAAAATGTTTTAACAGATGGTGAAGTTTTATAAATAAATGCTTCTAAACCCAGAATGAAGTACGAGCTATGCCACTTTGCTCTTTCACATATTAACTAACCTATTAGTCCCCAGAAATGTTTATGAACACATATAATTATAACGAATACAAATTATATGCTTTTAATACTTACAATGGTGAAGGAACCCAGTGTAGCATCCGTAACGCCAAAAACACACGAATACTGCAAAACAGGTTAACGCCGTCCGGACATGCTGGCTTAAATGGCCGCATGACACCAGGAAGAAGGTAGTTTCAAACCCTTCGTCAGATGTCACTCATACCAATACAAAATACAGGTTTTCGCATGACAGTCTCTGCCAGTGACAGCACGTGTTCCATTGTGCTTTTAGCGCGTTTCATAATATGCACATGCACGGGCTTCGCGCGTAACTCTTGTTAATCTTTGGTTAATTATCCGCGTTCTTTGTTATCGGTACGCAAAACACGAATTATACGGGCGAGAAAACAGTATAAAAATATCGATATACATGCACCCATATACTGTATATTGATACATCTTGTCCGTTCCTACTGCAATATATATAATAATATAAGCAATATATAATAATCCGTGGCGTAACAGCCCTCCGAGAGCCAAAGCCAAATACCGAAACGAAAATATAGCTTGCTGGTGCGAGCCCCTTGTTAACAAATTGGCAGCATACCCCTGAGAACATAATTTCTTTTGTCATTGCAGCACGCAAAATGATAAAAAAAAATATTTTAGCGACTTTCATAATGCTTTTGTACGTCATTAAAATAAGTTGGATACATAATAATCATTTTTGCGATTTTCATGCCTCCATTCATAATCATTTTAAAACAACTTTCATAATACACTTATGACTTAATCAATACAGCCGGCCCATGCATGGTGCAGATCCTGTGATGTTTGAGTCCTTATAATAAAATTTAATGGGCCAAATTAAAATTTCAGGACATTCATGCTTCATCATACACTCACTTACAAATGTAATGTAACAGCTTACACTTTGGCACATTTCATTAACTGCTCACTTCCTTGTTATTTCTACACATATCATGCCACACAAATAATTACAATTTTAGTGCATTTATAATGCTGTTACAATTCTTTTTGCACATTTCATTATGAGTTCATATTTTTAACAACCTGAACTTCCTTTCTGTTTGTCATTTTCATTCCTGCAAATTTTTAAATAATTTCTTGTCATATTTACACATTATTCCAAAATTTTGTAGACATGTCCATTTGCTTAGTTCTATCTAAATATATTTCTAAAACAACATTTCAAACAGTACGTTGTGTGCTTAATTGGACTGCTGTGGTTATTCGTGAATGTTAACACAAACTAAGCAAATTAAACACAAAATTAAAAACTAAACTTAGCCTTATTTCTGAATGTAAGTGTATACCGATGAAGATGAGAATATGTGAAGTGAATTCAACCCTGTCCCCTGTATCGTTCTTTTTAACCTTTAGGCAGTTCAAGACCTACTCTCCAAAAAGGTGGTTGAACAAGAAAGACAGATGATCAATGACAACAAATCAATATCAGACATTACCTACTATGGCCCACAGCTGGAAGAAGTTGAAGACTCAGCAACAACTCATGTGTGTGTTCTTGCTCACAATGGAGACGCTGTTTCAGTAACCAGCAGCATGAGTGTCAAGTAAGTGCCTCATTATCTAAGATCTGGATTGAACACATTCTCTGTTCTATAAAAAGTTATTTGGGGCCAAGGTGAATTTCTTCTTCCTCTTGGCGCAACAGTTCAAAGTTGAAACCTGGCCTCTTCAATCTTTTGACTCCATCAGGGGCCTAGCTTGAAGTTTCAAACAAAAACACAATGAACAATTTTCAAAACCTATTTTAAGTTTGAAATAAGAAATTTACTGGAAATCATTCATTTGAAAGATCAAACTGGAGATCTGTTCTGGTTCATGAGGAATTCACACCAGATAGTACAAAATTAACATGATTTTTACCTTTATTTTCTAACAATATTTATCACTGAAGACTGTCATCTTCTGGGTTGCAGCATAGTCTTGTAGAACCCAGAAGATAACATGAAAACCTCATATCCTACGAACTATTTATTATTGTTGTAGCATTAAAAAATCCTCTTGGTAGCTCTTGAGAGATAAAACACTTACTCCACTTATCGCCCTGATAACGGAGGTAGTATGACCTCTGAAACGTTGGATAACATCGACCAGACTTCACAGTACAAAAACCCAAAAGACAGAAATCTTCAAAAAAGCAAATGGCTCACATTCTGCAAGAAATAGTTAATAAAACTAAGAGTATTTAGTTTTCTTTTTAAAAATTATCACTTAATGCTGTCTGGAGCTCAGATGGAAAATGGTAAATATATACAACATATTGGTTTAAAACTTCAGGGGGAGAGAAACTTGAGAGACACATGTGAAGATGAGGGACAATATTAAAATGAATCAGAGAAATAGGGTGTGAAGTTATGGATTGAACTAAACTGGTTCAGGACAGGTACCAGTGACCATCTAATGTGATGAACATTCAGGTTCAAAGGCAGTGATATCTTGACCAGCTGAATAGCTACCACCATACTACACAGAACATTGCACCAAGCAGGTGTGGAGATCTTGAATGTTGACTGAAATGCTTATTGGCAGCAAATCAAGACAGGTCTGAAGGACATAACAGTGGCCACTGCTTGTCATTGTATTATTACATAAGAATCAAGTAAACATTGCACATTTATGTTTCAGTTTTGGATCAGGATTTATGTCCAGTAAGACAGGAATAATTTTGAATAATGTAATGGAAAACGTCAAAGAACAAAATATAATCAGCAAGCACGAAACAGTGACACCCAGTGCTAACTTTGTATCACCCACGAAACATTCCATGTCCCCTGTGGCACCATCAGTCTTTACAGATGAAGCAGGTGATATAAGGCTTATCATTGGGGGTACTGGAGGAATCAAGACCATAACATCTATTGCTTATGTGAGTACCAACAGCTTTTCCAGGAACATCCTTCTAGCTTTAGTCAGCACATATAGCCAGCAGTTTGTGGTGATTTCATCCACTGCTACCAGATTACAACTGCAATGTCATATGGATAATTATTACACTTGCTCTTATTTGGAAGGAAGCTTTAAAGAAACTGATATTCAAATTCTCTACAAAAAATATGACTGATAGTAGCATTTATAATCAGCATATGACATAAAAATTATCCCATACATACACCAGACTGAAGAATTAAACTTGAATAGAAACATTGTATGTTCCACGGAAACACAACTTTTCCCCCCATTTTTACCAAATGTAATTACATTGTTATTGTCTTTTAGGCCCTAAATATTGTTCCCTTCATACCTTGTTTATCCCAGAATTTGTATTATTCTGAAAATAACCTAGTTTTATTTGCAAGATATAATAATGGCATGCTATTACTAGAAGCTGGAATCTTCTGAAACTTTCTCACAAAATAGATTGCATTCCCTGTTTTCCAAGTACAGTATCCTTACTTTCCCCCAGCATTGATAAATACCATGTAGGCAGCATATGTACTCAAAGCCGTACGAAAAATATTTTTCTTTGTGAAGAGGGTTCCATTTCCAGGCATGTTTAAAAAATAAACTACTTATTGACATTTTATGTCCATCCAACCACTCGTAACAGTGCCCAAGATATGGTACAGCTATCAAAGGACATCTATGTACAGTTTTCTAGTCCTGTAACATAGTTTTATGAAATTTTATATGCAATGCTTCTAAAGAATTGTTAGTGTTTCAATTTACCATAATTCATTTTAAAGGCCACATCTCTTATGTGACAAAATTTAAACAAAGATAGAAAACTTAAATTCTCTATGTGATAAAAGTAAAATCTAAAATGATATTTTACAACAAAAGCATAAATAGCAATAAGAGTGTCACAGAAGGTGGACTGGTATTTCCATTACAATTTTGTGTGACAGGTCGCAATACGAAACCTGTGGCTTGGAGACAGCGTGAAGACGGCAATAGATGCAAGACGCATCCATCATCAGCTTAGTCCAAACAAGCTACAGTATGAATATGGTTTAATTAAAGTAAGTTTTGAGGGTATAGTTTGTTAATGATACATGTCATATACGATACTATGAGATCATTGGTGTGATATTACTGTTCTAAACGTGAATGTTCCAAATGATGATAAGAACGATGACATAAAGAACAGCTTTTATAAAGAACTGGAGTGTGTATTCAGACAAAACCCTACGTACCACATGATAATTTTTTTAAAAGATTTCAGGCCAGAAGATAGGAGAGACAATATTTTAAACCAAAAATTTGAAATGAGAATTTACATAAAAGTAGTAATGATAAATGAGTTTTAACAATAACATCAGTGATGTTAAAAATTTAACTGTAAAAAATACAATATTCTTACACCACAACATTTATAAAACATATGAACATCTCTTGATGGAAGACTATATTACACTGAAAATATCTTACTAAATAAATATTAAATAGTTGAAGAAGAATAAACAATGGTTGCATGAAGAGTATTAAAAATTATTATATTAAAGTAGGTGGATAAATTTCACTGTTTGCAGGATCCATGTCTGTCTGACAGATAAACAATGGATATCAGGATGACAAAATAAATGAGAATGAAACAAACAGTAAGAATAAAAATATTACAGATACCTGGGAATGACAGCAACAAATGAAAACTGCATTATGAAGAAAATAGAGAATAAATTTGGGGGGATGCTTGTTATGATTCAGTTAAGAATTTCCTGTCTTCCCATGTCCCATCTAAAATGTCAAGATTAAATTTTATAAACAAATATAATTTTACCTGTTTTTTGTATGGTGTAAAATATAAAACTTCATCCATCACCCTATGAGAGGACAGAGGACATAATACGAGGCTGGAGAAAAGTGTATAATGAGGAACTTCATAATTTGAACTCTAACTCCAAATATAGAGTATGAGGTACAAAGGGCATGTAGCATGCATGAGAGAGATAAGATGGAATATGGAATTTTAATCTAAGATTTGAATGTAAAGACAGGAGAATAATATGAAGATGTATCTTAAAGAAACAGCGTTTGAGGATGTGTTATAGATTCATTTGGCTTAGGAAAAGGTCCAGCAGCAGACTCTTGTAAGCATTGTAATGAATAATCAAGGTCCACAAAAGGAGAGGAATTTCCTAACTAGCAGACTTCTGAAGAAGGACTTTGCTCCATAAGTTAGACAGATTAGAAAAAGGGTCCATAGTTAGTTTGGAACATTAACATTTCTTTTAAAGTCTAAATATTAGAGGTTTTAAAGTACACTATTATTTCATTATGTTTCACACAGATATTTTATATCTTTTTCAGCAACAAATAGAAGGTTTGAAGAAACGACAACACATTATGGTACGGGTGAGAGACTGTTGGTCATCTTTTGTTAATGCTATAGAGAAAAGAATGAATGGAATGATTATTGCAAATTCTGATTATAGGAAAGGGGGAACAGTTGATGGGCTTGACTAATTTGATCAGTTAACAAAGCAATGCCTTCTGAATGACCCTATATCAGGGACACAAGTAATATAACATGAAACCTTTATATAAACTTTTGTAAATAACTTGAAGTCAAGCGGATGCACAACTGTAAAACTGACTTCATAAATAGAATAAAGAAATATTATGACAAAATGCAACAAAATCTATTTCTCCATTGTTTTTTGTAATGTAAGTCATTATTTTTTTTAATGGTAAATGAAAATACAGGTCTACAGAAAGTAAATAACAGCTAGAAAATAAATAGTGATGGGACACATGATTAGATTTTTGGATCACAATTTGAAGGGAAGATTTTTGTGGAAAAACAGTGTCTCACAAGTGTACCATGCAAAGATTTTCCATAAAACTGACTTCATAAATACAATAGAGACATAGTTTGACTAATGAAATAAAACAGTGGATGATTAATTATCAGATTTCATTCCTTGTTAGACTACCATCATGGGTAAAATGGCTGACATGAGAACCTGGCCTCATCAATTTCTCTCCAAATTCTCTGCCTTGTTTGTATGACATAAAAGCAGATCAACTTTTGACGCTTTTAAATATTTTGTCTTACTCTCCACATTGAAGTAACAGTGACACTGATTAAAATCATTTGATGTGTTGTAGCATCAACTGAACAGCAGAAGACTGAGCACAGAATTGTGAAAAAGTCTGTATGGTCTCTGAGGATTGAAGCTTTCCCTTCAACTTCATCTAGGAAGCCAACCCTTCCAGTAAATCATAGCATGTATGGACACCCTTTGTGTGGCACACTTTTAGGTTTCTGAAGGATTACATTTTAGATTACCTGTTACCAGTCATACTACTAACAGAGCATGATACAGAATTAATACATTAAATTGCATCAATTACCATCATTTTGAGTGGTCACCATTTTATTTTCTAGGTTCCTAAAAAGAGACGCACAGTTTTTACAGATCTATTCTAATTCTAAGCTTCAAGACCCCTTGTCTAATGGCGATTTAGTCACGTTCCTGTCTCGCAAGTTCCTATGGCTACCAAGGTGGAACTGTTTATGACAGGAAATTAAAACATGCAGATGAAGAGGTCTCCAGTGTAAAACTGTTGCACTAATTGATCCAATTTTATAAGTCAGAAGACTTAATATTGATACCTGCAGGTGAATCAAGGAACAAACAAATGGGCAGATGCAAGCAGTTCAATAATAGGGTTATGCAGAAGAACCCTAAAACATGACAGTGTGAGATCCTTGTTCAGAATCCTGCAGTTATTCCTCCCCGTCGAAAATCTGTACTGGCATAAACTTTTCCACCTTTCCTTGTAATTCCTGTAACTGCTGAAAAAAAATGTAGCCTTTCTGTTTCATGACCAATTTCTTGTAGTCCTTGTACAATTTGCTGAAACAAAAGAACAAACAATGTATGATCTGGAGCTTTCATGGCAACTTAGTATAATGATTTCTTCTTGGGCTACCAGCCAGATAAGGTGGTTTAATGGAGAAAACACTGTTTCATTTTCGTCATCTTCAGGGTACTGAAGGTACAGGGAAACTTCAGTACCCTGAGGATGAGGATGGTTCTCAAAACATTGGTATTTTCTCCATTAAACCAACTTACATGGCTGGTAGCCCAAGAATAACTCATTAAACAAATAAATTAATATTAATGAAGACTTAACACAGTATATATGATTTGATTTGGTCTACGAGGTGCGATCAGAAAGTTTCAAGACTGCGCCTATAAAAACCCGTACACTTATCTCAGGTATTAAATTCATCCACCACCCTCGAAGTAGTTCCCCTGGGAGTGAACACAACGATCCCAGCGCCGCTGCCAAGCCTGGAAGCATCCCTGGAAATCTTTCTTTGTCAGCCTGTCAAGCACCATCTGCGATTCTGCCTGAATCTCTTCTATCGTCTCAAATCTCCTTCCCTTTACCTGAATTTTCTTCTTTGGGAAGAGGAAGAAGTCACACGGAGCTTAGAAAGGAAGCTGGGGTCGGTTCTTGCAAGATCTTTCAGCTCCTGACAAACGAGAAGTCGATTCTGCTTCTAGTCCTCTGACAGGATGCGTCGCATGTGGAGTTCTTCCTTTAGAATCAGCTGACAGGTCCCATAGCCTATCCCAAAAATGTCGCACAAGTCGTTGATGGTACGACGTCGATCTTCGTAACAGTTTCGGGCGTTGTGCTCGAAGATGGTCGTCCAGAACGCTCGTCATCATCGACAGAGGTTCGGCCATTTTTAAAACGTGAATGCCACACAAAAGTTTGTGCACGACCCATTGCGGACTCCCCAAATGCTTGCTTTAGCATTTCACAGGTTTCCGTAGCCGTTTTGGCGAGTCTTTGGCAAAATTTGATGCACACGCCATTCCGAAAGCGCAGGAGGGTCGGTGTAATGCACTACCAAAACGCCCGTAACTAAGAAACAAATGCTAATTCGATGATGCCGGCTGGCACACTGATTCACTATGAATGTAGGCCGCACCCCCTAGCGGCAGAAGCTCATACTACATCCGGTTCGCCCTCTATTGACACAGTCTTGAAACTTTCCGATCGCACCTCGTATACAGAATTATGAAGATTTCACATGAAATAAGTATAGTGTTCACCTAAGCAGTGAAATGTTATAAATAAATCTACTCATTACATCAAGTATATAAATTATAATACCCATTTGCAGCATATAAAGGCAAGAAAACATTTATGAACATTATATTCTTTCATGTGCCATTCCAAAGCAGTTTTACATTCAAGTATAATCCATGTCCAGTGTACCTTAACTCTGGTTAGTGGATGTGAAATTTACATGTAAAAAGCTTCTAAAGCACTTACCTGAAGCAATCCATATTCATACTGCAAATGCATAGGAAAGAGTTGATGATGAACCCTCGGTGCATCAATTGCTTCCTTTATATTATTATTAAACCACAGAACCTGCATTGCCACCTGTAATTATAAATGTTGAATACTGTCAAGTTTTGAATCGAGTCTCACAATTTTAAAACTCACGCAAAATAAAGTAATGTAGTATTGTGAACAGGTCTGCTAAACATTATAATCTACACTGTGAATGGGTCTTTTAACACATCATAATCTTTAAAATGTCAAAACCAATCAAATTAACAGTAGAAAAAAAAACAGTATACAGAACACCGATTGATTTCACAAATCCTCTATATTTAACATGCTGTTCCCAGTGTAATCTGTGGCTGGAAATAAACTGCTATTAAACACAAACTTTCGTCATATGGGACTAATCTAAAACTGTATTTCAAGTTCAATGGAAATATTTCAGGTTCTTATCACCAAGAGTATGATGAGTAGAATACTGAATCTTAATAACTTAGGAATTTAACAAAAATTACATAACTCTTAAAACACAATAACAGGAATTTAACAAAAATTACATAACTCTTAGAACACACAAACAATTTTGCCTAGCACAGAAAGAAACAATGGTAATGCATACAAATACCACAGCAGAAGAACAATTGTTCTGATAGTACATACCAAAGCAGTGGCAGTTGTTATTTTTGTTCCACCCGCTGCACCAGTTACAAGTTGCACATCTCCACTGCCATCAACACAGATGGATGGGACCATTGAAGATAATGGACGTTTCTTTGGCTCAATATAGTTGTTTGGTGAAGGTGGAACATCATAATAATTGGTGATATTGGGTGCTGAGAAGTCATCCATTTCATCATTAAGGATGATTCCTGTACTGACTGATCGCACCATTGCTCCAAAACTGCCCAATATCATGAAAGACAAAGAATCACTTAAATTCATATTTTGGAAACAAGAATATGGGAGTGTCAATTCAGAAAATCAGTCTCTCTTCTTCCAAGGTGAGTTTTAATGAGCTGTAAGATATCAAGTGACAGAGGAATAGAAATGGCAAGAAAGGAAATGACATGTGGTTTTGTACTAGGGGAATGCTGGAAGATGGACCCCAGAAAAAAAAGTTTATCCATGAAATTTTCTGAATATGTTCACTGTGACCATATGTAAAGTATGGAAACAAATTTAATTTCCTCCAAGCATTGTGCTACAGCTTGCAACATATTATAAGGAACTGGAGGATGTCGCTTGGAGGTAACACAAAATATTTCAATAAATGAGCCAGGACATTTGGAGCTGTCTTACTGATGGTAAAGTGAGTCTTCTTAGCTACAGGAGCTACTGTTACCAATGAATGTATTAAAAAATAGGTTATGTTAGACACCTGCATATACTTACTACAGATTGACAGTGCTCGTGACAGATACAGCATCACCATTAGGTGCCAAGACTGAAATGTGTGCTGTACCATGATCCTCAGGCATTACTACGTCTGCCCCATAATGCTTAGGGTCTTGCCACGTTACATAATCACTAATGTTCTTTCGGACAGCTTCTGCATAATCTTTAGACGTTAATTGCTTCACTAGCTGAACGTAACAAGAGAATAAGTTAAAAAGTTAAATTCAATGTAACATGCATATAAAATTATGCTCATACAACATGTGATAGTTTAAGAATATGAAGGTTTGTAACATGCCTAATTATATAAAAGCTTAGACTGAACTGAAGCAATTGGTTTGGCTCCATGCACAGCCTTCAATGCATCGCTCATCTGTTCATCTGACAGCATGCTTGGTCACAATACATCCATCCGCACAATGTGTCAATTTCCACCTATGACATCCAATGATATTGCAGTGTTTTATTTTTAATCAAAGGTAACAAAGAAAGGCATCACTGTATATAACATGCAGTACTTTAGGTTAGATTAAGCATGTAAACCCAGTGTTTTCCCCCAAATGTTTAACAAGTCCAATATATCACACTCGACTTTTATGCTATGTAACGTGACCATAAAACCTCGACTACTTGTTTACAAAGTTCATAGTATGGGAGATGAAAATGTATATGGCCTATATACAGACATGAAGACACTGGATATAATTCTCACCTTCTTGCTGCCATTGAAGGAGTGGAAAAAGTTTATATATGTGGAGACTTATCTTCCTTACCTCATTAATATCAACAAAATCTGGATCTCCTAGTTGAGTTCGTTTTCCAAAGCCGTATTTGAAAGCCTCGGTAATCCTCTGATATGTTGTGACCTCATACTCATGAGGAACAAAGCCATTTAAAATATTGAGCATTAGTGCAAGAAGAACTCCAGAACCTGGAGGTGGCACAGTGTACATTGTAATATTGTTAATCATATTAACAGTTACAGGAGCAGCCCAGCTAACCCTGAAATGCATAAAAGTAGATTATAAATAAACAGGAACTTAATAATAGAGTTTACAAAAGTTTGTAGTGTGATTTCAGTAATGTATCTGAGTAATTATTAAATGTTCCATGTAAAAAGAGGTTTAGAACACATATGGGAGATCATGTCTGTCTCATGTAAAAGCTCTCAAGCTACCAAATACATTTTGAATATATTTAATATTGGAATTCTATACTAAAAGTTCATAAATAAATTGAAGTTTGGGTTTTATCAGACCAACATAACCTGTAAACATAATATATAGATGCCATTAATGTATACTTTTATTTAAACTAGTGTTTAATGTAGTTAATTTTAATTAAATAAAAAGTTATCATGTACTGTTATGTGAGATTTGATTATTTTTGCAAGAGTAAATTTCTGTTAGCAATAAATGAACACCAAGCCTGAGCAATAAATTAATATCAAAGCTGACGAGGCAAAGAAAATTGCAAATTTAAAACTACATTACAAAGTTACATATGGAAGGAAGTATGTGACCTGAAAGAAGTTCTCCAAGCTTCATTTAATGCTAATACAAATGTTCTTGGCTCTGTTTGTTAGTAGTTGTAATTAAATTACAACAAACACTGTACACTCATACAGGCGTTATTACATCTGATTATGTTTCCAAGAAGCCCTATCAAAAAGCTGTACCGTGTTTTTAGATATCAATAAACACTTTACAAAACCTTTTGAACTAATCAGACATGCAACTTTAGTTCACATTTAATCCTTGCATTTGTCAGAAATTTTAATTTGTTGGATAGTTTATTGTTACTGGTTTTCTCACATGAATACAAAAAATAACATTCTACTTACTGATACTCATTCATGTCTTCCTCAGTGATAATGCCACCCAAATCCTGTATGTCTTTAACAAAAGCTTCTGTCAGTGTACCATTGTACAGTACTGAAGCACCAGAGTCTCTAATCAACTCCAGCGTTTCAGCCAGTTTCAAGCGTTTATATGTATCTCCTTCTTTCCAGACATTGTTTGTTTCACTATTAATCAGAACTTCACTGAAAGAAAATCAGAAAGAAGAATAAAAAACATTATCTAAATTAAAGAAATAACTAACATCGTGGTAGCAGAAGTCTAAGATTAAATACTGCTAATACCAGACCCCCACCAATGAATATGATCCTGAGTAGTTCCCATCCTCGCAACCTGTCTCTGTATGATCCATCTTAATGTTACCATCCCATAACCTTCTCAGTCATAAGGACATTTCCCAAGAGTATAATGAATTCTTCATGGACTAGCAGCTGTGTCAGTTGGTTGAAAGGAGAAAATCCAGCATTTCAGAAACAACCTTCGTCCACGATAGGTAACCGCTCATCCGACATTAGTTTAGTTTTAGTTAATTAATTCTGTATATTTAATCTTATCTCTTTATAAGGTTATGTGTCTTTTATACCAATTTATGGTCTAGGGATGGTCTAGAATGATCTTTCAAGTCTTCTGCTGGCCTTAGGCAAGTCTAAAATGCATTTCTGATGTCAGGGCACCATATGGCCGGTTTAATGTTAACTACAAACTGTAGTAGGGGCCTGGTATACTTCACTTTACAAAACTGTAAACTTTGGCAGGTGAAGGCTTCAGTCTATGAACAGAAAGAAAGTCTTCATCAACGTGCTTGGGGAACGAACCCAGAACCCAAAAATAAAAAACCACTTGTGCAGTTTGACCATATACCACCTACACACTTCCACAGCACGAAGCTTATAAACTTTAACTTGAACTATTTATTAACTGTGTTTATGTCAGTCACCGTAAAGTAGGACTCTGCTTTATATCTTCCTCCTTCTCCTTCAGCAGCCTTGCTAGGTACGCAGTAACTGTTATACCCTCTCTGCATAAGTCAATAGTTGGTTGCACTAGTTCCCTCCACTCCACATTACCACTTTTGTATTCTTTGTATGCTTCCCAATATCCCATTAATTCTCCTGGAACTCCTACAGCCAGTCCTCCTGAAAGACAATTAAAAAAAGTCATACAGTACTTATCCTTCTATACTGCATCTGAGAATTTGAATAACTTACTACTTTGTTTGTCCTCCATTTTTGGATCTCAATTACATGAATTATTCCGTGATTTAAGGAAAGAATAGTCCCTCCTTGGTCAATATTATTACTTAATTCTGTGTTACTGATTGATGCATACATCATATAGCCTACCTTGGATGTGGGAAGACATCTTTTCATTAACCAACTGCGAAAGCAAAATCACAAATCATTTTAGGCTTCTCACTTTGCCCTCTTTAAAATACTAAAGATACATACCAACTGTTGAAAGTGTGGAATTCCCATTAAACATGGTCTTATTAGCAGCTTTGGGGGCAACTTCTCGAGCATTCAAGGTCTGAACATTTCCAGTGTCTCGTTTGTAGATAGTCATCAGGAAGCCCCCACCAAGTCCCATGCTTTGAACACAAACAACGCCTTCACAGAACAAAGCAGCTATGGCTGCTTCAACTGCGGAGCCATTCCTCATCAGAATATTCCTGAAAGTGTTAAAAATGTTTATAGCAATTAAGGAATTTAACCAAAAAACATTTAGGCATGTTATTCCTAAAACCTCAGCTTACCAACCTGCCTATTATTGCACAAGGGTACCCATTTGTAGTCACCGCTGCATTCCAGTAAATCCCCAGTTCAGAATCTGAAGGTGGAAGAGGCCTTGTTGGGTCTGGTGGGTTTAATGGTGCTGCTGGTGTTTCATCGTCAGATCGAAGGCCAAAATACAGTCCGACAGCAAGCGCTGCACCACAGACGATAAACACAGCACCAATAACCACCAGAGACTGTCTTCTTATTCCAGATCTGCAAGAAAGAAAGATGTCAGTAGATAGCGATTCTGAGTGGGTATTTTGTATGTGACCAGGTCATCTCATATTATTTAAAAAGAAGGTTTAAACTACAGAGACTAGATAGTATAATATGAGATAGATGGATGATAATGAATCAGTAGGTTACAATTTGGAAGGAGATGTCATGGTCTATTTTAAGGTGCTATCCCAACATCTGCATGAAAACAGATTAAGAACATATGGAGCTATACCTCCACTCCGCTAAATGTCCGCAAAGCCTGGTGTTCAGTTAAGCACAGGGGCAACTTTACCTTTGCACTTCTTTCTTTCTTTCTTTCTTTACCTGCAGCCAATGTCAATTTGTCAAAGACACATGATGGCACACCAGAAAATTTCTCTATATGGCCATAAATACGTATTTACATATAAATCCTTGCCCTATAAGAATGCAGGTGAGTGAAAACAAAACATAACACATGTTGAATTAAACTACTGTTGATGAACAGAATGTGTGTGTGTGTGTGTTATTAGGAATTCTAACTACAAAAGACAAGACATTGATTTCCCTTTCTAACTATAACATGCGAATATATAATTTCTTCTAAAAATTCATGGCAGCAGAAACCTTGTGGTGGTACAATGGTTTCAGAACACTGGTCTAGTATATATCCACTATAGATGACACTCAAATTTATTTTTACATTTTTCTTCAGAGTCCAAGATTCTCATACAAGAATATGTGGCACAAGTATAGACCTCAAGCTCTACAACTTTCATAGGAGACACTTTTGACAAACATAATTTCTAACTTAGTGTAGTGTGGTCTCTATTTTGTGTGATATGGTTTGGAAACTTACTGGGTCTTCCTCGAACGACCGAATCGCCAGACTATTTTGCTGTCGGCTTGTGCGTGCTAAACGCAGCATCTGCCGAGGAAAATTAGTGCCGCCTAGCGCTTGAAATGCAGCGCATTATAAACACATATGTGCATTTCTGAAAGTAAATACTTTGTTTAAAAGACTCACCATCTCAGCAGATGCTCAAAATGTCTCCCTTCTGCTCTTAAACACATTTCAAGACTCTTGAAAACATTGCTTGACACTAGTTTCAGTTCAGTGACATCGATAGATGTAATTGCTTCACGAATGGTTTGCTTAAGTTCATCCAATAAACTTCTGATCGTGAAGGGGCACTTCAAAATTCTGTCTCGGATTAATATCGCTCCAGTACCTGTTGTTTTGAGTATACTCGCACCGCTCGTATTTAATCGCTCACGTAGGACACCGGGTAACGCAAAGTATTAATAATAACGGGCTGTGTGGCTGGCCCGTGTGACGCGTAAGCAGCTGCTGTCAGCATGTTTTTATCAAGGCCGGGGAGGCTCGATTCGGTCGTTCGAGGAAGTCATGTAGTTTTACATTTGCAGTAAATGAACATCAAGGGCAATGTGGCAAGAAAATTGAAAAAAAAAAGATCAGTTTTCTGGGCTATTGCGCCATATAAAAGTTTACCGACGTTACTGAGGTGCTTGCCACCTTCAACGTCAGGGCGGTGAAAATCGTATACTTCGTTTAAATACTCACTGGAATTTTCGTCAGTGAGGAGTGAGTGAAGGTGTGTTGCTGCAACAAAACAGGTAAACAATGGAATGCAACCTCAATGAAAACTTTTTCTCACCTCTTCAAGAACATGATGCCTGTATGCGCTTCATAAACTGGATCAGCTGTTGAGGATGTCCGCTACATCAACAGTAGAGCAGAACCGCCTGCGACTAAAGGCCGAAAAGCCAGGATCAGGCTATGTCCGTCCTACGGTTGCTTGTAAATTCGAACCATCTAGAATAAAACGACATCCACACTTAGAAGGAAGTAAAAGCTCCGTAGCTACCGCAAATCGCCTACGCAAGCTGCACACAGTCAACATGACTGCAAGAAAAATCTGCGCATGGCATTCACGGTTCTTGTTATGTAATGGCCTGCAGTTTCTTTACACCTTGAGCAAGGCACTCTGTTAGAGAGAACTAAAAGTTTCTACTCCGTTATAATACACGAACGTCCTTCATGCGATAAGATCCCTACCTGTTGTTCATCAACGCCCCTTCCTCACAACCTATTTCCCTGTCTGCCTCATTCTATTATTCCATCTCCTCGGTATTACAATTGACTTCAAGTAACACTGCCACACGAAGCTGTGCATGAATTTCCTCCGTCATCTTAGCTTTATGCAACTCAAATTAATTTTTCTCATAAACTCGCCTCAAGCCAGGGAGTGACAATGCACGTTGTATGCATACACACACAACGTGCACGCTGACAAAATCTCAAACAGGATTACATTTTACTAAGCCACATCGTGAAAATAAATTTGCAACTGTGACACGCAAAGTTGTCTATTATGGACAAGCAAATAAAGCTAAGAATTCCACAACCACGTTCCATTCATCACTTAATTTTGGTCCATATTTCGCTTTGTTAAACCTTGACACAACACACCACTTTTCTCCACACATCTGTAGTCAGGCATGGCACAACCTCCATACCAGATTTTATGAATTTCCGTCCAGGCATTCAACAGGAAAAGTTAGTGATGCACATGCGCAGAGATTCACGGCATGTGGCTTCATAATCATTCCACTTCATAAAATCCCAAACCGGTGTGATACATGCGCACAGCTCGTGTCAAATTCCAGTCATTCCATTTTCTGTCTTTGTCCATAAGGACGTTAAGATACAAGCAATACGTGTTCAGAGAACTTCTACGTGACTTTATTAAGCTTTTAATAAAGAGATAAAGGCAGACACTGTGCAACAGTCATGCAGGTGGCATGCAATTAAAAGAAATAACACGAATCAACGTTTCACATCAGCTGACCTGAGAAACAGCAACGTGTATCATTAGGAGGCATCGTCTTTCCCAGCAGACAAAGCATTACTGGCAATTTACTGGTGGCAGTTTATAAAATTCGCCAAGCAGGTTTGACATTTTCGTCCTTTCCATGCAACGTGCACATGACAGGCTGTTTTGATTAGATGCACTGGCCTTCACGGTCAGTTTACTTATTGTTCGAGCGTTCCACATTCTTGGAATAGTTTAAGCTAAATTATTCGCGACTTGTTACGAAATATTACATTACAATGGCAGAAGGTTCAAGTAAAAACGAGCATGGAAATGGTTAATTCGGCAGAGTTACGGGGTAATCTGATTGAGACTTTTATTGATTTTTCAAGGATTCTCCATGC